CCCGCCGCCCGCGCGCCCCTCCCCTCGGCGAGGCGGCGGCGGGACCGCGCCGCTCCGGCAGAGTAAACCGGTTTGTCTTCACTTCGCCCCTCGAGGCGCCCGGGAGCACTGCCAGTCGGCGCTGGGACATGTGTGCGCGGCTCTCTCCTTTCCCCCGGCGAGAGGTGAGCCTCACTCTGGGGCGGTGTGGAGCGTTATAAAAAGGGCAGGGCTCGCAGAGGGGGCAAAACGTGCTTTCCGTCCCTGTGAACTGCGGAGAGACGGGAATCGCCGCTCGGCCCGGACCCCGGCCCGGCCAGGCGGGCGCTCCCGGACCCACCCCTCGGAAGGTACTGGTACGCCGCGAGAAGCTTCACTTTGCACATTGTCACCGTTGCCCGTAGAGTTGTTCTTGGATCGCGAGGTTATTTGAATGGTGCTTTTTTTTTTTTTCCTTTTTAATAACCCACCCTCTTTATTTTTAAGAGCGCAGAAAATGTTCACAGTGTACTTGGTAGACGAAAAAGTAATTAAGGAATATGCCATCTGACGTGCTCTGGGGGCCGCCTGTAGAATTAAAGGGGGCAGAGGGGAAGGGCGGGCTGCCAGGGTAAGAGGAACCCAAAATGTGTTGCTGCTGCGGACTTGTCATCCCAGGGGTGACGTGCCTCACAGTGACCCCTGGAAAGGTGGCTGGCTGAGCACCTCCTGGGCCTCTGGAATGGAAAAAGGAAGATTGTTCTTAGAAGAGCCAAGGGTATTTTTGTGGCCAAGCAAGCAGTTGCTTGTTCTTGTACTGTATAATTTTCCCTGTGCAGTTTTATTTATTCTTGGGCAGACACACCGACAGATACTTTACCCACTTCCACTATTTAAAGTACAAGTTTTAAAAATTTGATACGGACTCCCCTGCCCCAAGTGCTTGTTTCCATTTGAATTTCCTCTTTTAGTTCAATATCTCGGGAAAAGACCTGCTCCATAAGGCCTTTTCCCCCTTTGCTATCACTGCCCAATGCCCCCGCCCCCCATACACACACTGACCTAGGAGAAAGACGCGTCCCCAAGCCCAGCATGCCGCGGGTCCCTTCGTGCTGGTGTGCAGTGCAATAAGAAATGAACCACTTATTTTTATTAAAGCTATTCGACACCTGTGAGTTTTTAAGTTTCATTTATGCCGGTGAAGTCAGCAAAGTATAACTGGAGCGAATTTATTTTGGGTTGCCGCCAGTAGCCTAATAGAAGACTTGTTCTCAGGTCCGGGCAACATAGTTGAATGAATGAATTTGTTTTCAACTTCAGTTTTTCCTAAAAATAAACTAGGGCTTTTCACTGCACATTTTTATCCAGCTTCTTTGGAGCTTTCTGAGTTATTGAGATCGCTTGGGAGAAAAGCTTTTGCACATAAATACATGGGAACATCAGTTTTGAAAATGAGAGATGTGAGACTGATCAGTGGGTGATGTTTTTTTATAAGCCATTTGAGTTCTGTATGGTTAGAAAATTATGCCTTTTATAGAGTGAAAACATGGGTAATTAGTCATACAGGGTTTAGTATCTTGATTTGTGTTTCTTTACTGGGCTATTTTGACTGAAAGTTTTTCCATGACTTTCCAGATTGTAACTTTTTTCGTTTTGTTGTTTGTATTCATGTGCAATAGTTTAAGATGTTTTGATTCTTTGTAGATATTGGCATGTGAAAATATATGGAAGTAATGCCAGTTTTTCCAAGGTAACTGTTCCTCCTGTCTTGTTGAAAATTGCTAACGCGGGGAACTAAACTATGTTATCTTTTAAATTTTAATACATTCAAGTACACAAACTATTTTGCCTATTCCTTATAGAGAAAGAATATTCATATATTGTTATGCTCAGTTCCTGAAATTCTACACTTTATGAATACATTTAGGAGTGCTAGTGACTGCATGTTTCTCATGCCTTAAGAAATTTAATAGAGTTAGCAAGACTTGCATTAACTGGTCTCAGGCTGCATGAAGCCACTGTTCCCTTTACGGCTTATATAAATTACATGACATTGTGCTTTTCCGATGTGAATGGTGAATGAGGCTATTGTCTGTTGGCTTATGGGAAATATTAGAAGTCTGTAGTTTTACTGCCTAATGTCGCTCTGATTTCTGGAAATAGTGATTTGAGAGAGATTCCACTTATATGTTAAAAATAAACGGAGAAGCGCTTCTTTAAACATGACCGTTTTTATAACTGCCTGTATGACTTACAGAGTTTACATTTCTGATAGGATAATGAGAAGTTTCTAGAGACTATTTAGAATTTAGACTAAATAGAAAAAGACTGTTCAGCGTGTGTGGCATGCATGGGCAAAAACTGTTCCATTTTCATTTCTCGTTTGGTGACATCATTACATTGTCTACCTATTAGGACATTAAGATGTACACTGACTGACTGGGGAGATAACATTTAAGGCATCTGTCTTTCGCAACTGAATGCCAGTACAAGCTGGATGTGGCAACCTGAGTATCGTCTTACTTTGTAAGCATTACTCACAATGGAATTATTGGGAATACCTTAAAAACGTCAAGGTCAATTTATTAAAACAGAGTAAATATGACAAAGGCATAGGCTATTTAGTACACAGTTGGTTAAAAAAGATCACAAATCAGTAAGAAAAATGTTCTGTTATAATACAAAGGGACGCACATGACTTGAACATGCCAATCCAAATAAAGGAAATCCAAATGAGATAAAACTACTTTTATCAAACTGGCAGTGATTAAAGCGATAATACTCAACAGCGACGACAGTGTCACTAAGTAAAAACACATACATTTCAGTACAAATTGTGTGTTTAATGTATTTAGAAGTAATTTTAAACCTTCAAAAAGATTGAGAGAATAAAAAAGTGCAAAGAACACGTATATATCCTTTACCCAGAATCACCTATTATAAATATTGACCCTTTTTTTTTTAAACCATTCCCCTTTCTCTACACCCACCATCTGCCCACACACGGAAGTATTTTTCTGAATCATCTGAGAGTAAGTTGTATATATCAGGGCTTCAGGGTTTGCGTTTTTAATTGAAAATTTTAAGATATTTGTATTTCTAAATATAGTTGTTAAAATACAGAACGATGGTGCATACCCCTTACCCAATTCCCCTACTGGGAACATTTTGTAAAACTACAGTATGGAATAAAAACCAGAATGCTTATGCTATCTACTTTTCTTTTTTTCTAAATTCCCCACTTTTACATGTATCCATTTGTGTGTTCAGACAGACATAATTCCAAAGGTTGACTTTTAATCTCACCTGTGGTATGAACCAGTTGTACGTGTTTCTGATCAAATAAGGTTTAAGACTTGTGAAATCTTAATTTTAAGAATAAATCGGCCTTTTAAAGTGGGGGCAAAGCCAACTTAATAAAAGGATTTAAATTGATGGAATTGCATTTTCTTCTTTTCTTTTTTAAATACATTGCTTAGGCTCAGGAACATGATTATTAACCAGAAGAAGAAATACTAATATGAGCAGACTTGAATAAACCAAGTCACTGTTCTTTCTGCTCTAAAAGAATTAAGTTATTTTCTGTGCTGCTGTCCAACTCCCTTTATGAAAAGACTGGCAAAAGAAACACACGTGGGATATGGGCAAGGAAGTGAATTTTGACTATTTCTGATATGGTACTAGTGAACTAGTACCATATCATTTTCTCCACTAATTTCAGAGTGTCTTCATTAGTTTCTCTTTAAATTGTGACTTTGAGGAAACCCTTGGGACTAGAGAGAGGAAAGAAAATAGGATTTTTAAAGGTTGTTTAGTGATGCATTTGGATAAAGTTATGCTTGCCAGGGACAATATCCATGTTAAAGCAATCTAGAAAGGTTACATTCAAAAGATTTCTGAACCAAGACTCAGGCAGTAGTAGCAGCCTGGTTCTCAAAAAGGACAGTTGGGTTGAAAGTGGGGTGGCACATTGTGATCTTGGGCAAATATATCTTGGTTTTCTCACCTGTGAGGAGGTGGATTTTATTGCATAATTTTTAGAGCCATTTCAGATCATGCAAATCTATGACTTTTTTTTTTTACTTAAAAAATGTTCTAGTCCTCTTCAGTAGAACATTGAGACCACAATCAAAATGACACAACACTGCAGTGCTTCTGTAGTCCCTCCTTAGAACCTTAGTAACCCCGTTTGGGATTTTCCACTCTTGTGAGAAAGTTGTTTGAATCTGAAGGATGTGTCTTCATTAAGTGATCCCCTGAGAAGATACAAACAGTGCTTTCCTTCCTCTGTTCTATTCTTGATGTACTTCATTCTGTTCTTCAGTAAACAGCAAAGTGGATGAAAGTTGGCATTCATATGGTTTATGTTTGGTGGCAAGTGCTTACACTGCCATGGGCTCCTTTTCCGTCTGAAATGATGGAGTCTAGAGCTTTGGGATGCATCAAGCCATGGTCATCCTTTGCAGCTATGGCTGGATAAGACACAGGCAGCTTGGGTCAAACAACTTTAGGATTGGATATGGAATCCCAAAATGTGAGAAACTTTTATAGCAAAGGAGCTGCGTGAGTATGGTGAAAGAAACTGTATTGAGAGCAGCCACACAAAGAAGCGTGATTCCCTTTATATGTACGACCTTAAGAGCATGTGTTCATAAAGGAAAATTGTCCTGTGCCACAAAGAGAAAGAAGCTGGGAGTTCGCTTGGACTGATGCTTCCTCCAGTTAACATCTGCAGGGCTGGAGGCCAGATTTTATTTGTTTCCTCTTTTATCTTACTGGGCCTCAGGGCTGGGGATTTAGCTCAGCGGCAAAGCGCCTGCCTGGCAAGCGCAAGGCCGTGAGTTCGGTTCCCGGTACCGGAGAAAAACCAAAAAATAAAAAAATAAAAAAAAAATAAAAATAAAATAAAATAAAAATCTTACTGGGCCTCAGTTTCTTCCTCTGCTAAAACGAAGTTAAGCCTCGTTCTGTCCCTCCCATTCTGATCTTGTGTGAATATATAATTGCTCTTTTGTTGTAGTAGCCTGCTCATTCATCTCCAGCATGAGCGGAGAACACCTCATTCATCCAGCATCAATAGGAAATAGGCCCATTCTTCCAAAGAAGTGAACTTGCTATGTGAGAGTTTATAGACTACCCCTGCAACACCCCCTATTAAATGCCATGAGTGGTTCCTTCTAGACGTATTTGTTGGATAATAACCTAGCTACAAAAAAGAAAAACACCTAAGCTTGAAGTGCTTGTGCCCTAAACCACACAGTTGACAGAGGACCGAGTATGTAAGTCTGTGCCCTCCTAGAATCCACGTCCATTATTTTTATTATTTTATAAAACATGCTTCCCACAAGCAGGAGGTGCTTTTAGCTTCAAATATTTTGGATGAATATATGGAAAGAAAAGTACCTTCCATACAAAAGAATGCTCTTCTTAACCTCGTCCTAGTTTCGAATTTCCAATAGGAAAGCTTCCTGTTGCTGGAACTTCTAGCATGGTGAATACAAAAGCCTAACATGAGCTTCACACACTACTTAGAATCTCTATTCATAGCTGATGCGAGTAGCTTATTGCGCTTTTGTTCCTGGGTAATCTCAGAAGTGGCCATAAAGTCAATTGGTTGGTGTTGGCATATGAGATTAAGCCTATTGTTCACTCTTGTTTAAATCTTTTCACTGTGAATAGTGCAGCCACACTTAAATTAGAATGTCTGTGATGATAAGCAACAATAATAACAGCTAATGTTTATTGAACACTTGCTGATTGTCAGGTACTGTCCTTTAGAAAAGACAGTATTGGGGCCAGGGATGTAGCTCAGTGGCATAAGTGCTTGCCTGGTAAGCCTGAGGTCATGAGTTCGATTCCCGGTACCAAAAAAAAGACAGTATCTTATTTAATCATCTTAGTTACTCTTTACACTGGGAACTTCATAGCTCCTTAATTTACAGCTGAGCAATAGGAAACACAATGTGATCAAATAAATTTCCTCAGGGTTGCTTAGTTCCTCAGTAGCAAACCCTGGTCTGTCTGCCCAATGCTTGACCTCTTTATTATGAGGTAGTCTCTCACAGTAATAGAAATATTCAAAATGCAGTCATGAGGCAAAGCAGTAATCATTTAATGTCTACTTTGTTCATTTTAGTATTTCTCTTCCTGCTTTTCTGGTTTCGTATTTATCACTTCACATTTATCTAAGTAAGCAAACTTTAGATTTTATGGAAGGTATTATTACTGTGATTAGTTGCCATACATTTTAGTGATGAAATGACTCTGAATACCATTGCAGGCAAGGTAACTGTATGAGATCTGGAGATTTCTCACAGCTACTTCACTGTATACTGCCTCAGGTGTCTAGTGCTTGCTAACCCATTTTTGGTCCTTTAGGATACTGGATTTTATACTTGCTGTTGCCTTCATAGGCTTGCTTCTTTTGCAGGTGCTGCGTCAGTTGAATATATCATAAGAAAATATGTTCCTTTCTAAACATTAAATGTGATTTTCAGTTTAAAGAGGAGGTCGCTGTGCACAAGGATTATTTGAAAGTTTTTAAAGCCCCCCTCATGTCATTTACTGGTTTCCATCACTTCTTGTTCAGTGGCCATTTAAAGACATCAATATCTATTGTTAATATGCATATACAAAGATTTCAACTTTTTTGGAATGTTAATGCTTCAATACTTCATCTTAGTGAAAGAACAGTGTTCGACTCCTAAGTCATTCCTAGAAAAAGAAAGATATTTGTAAAGATACCTGAAAACTAAGGATCGAGGGGGTTTTTATGATGCATACTGTTGAGCTTTTTTAATGCTTAACGTTCAGTGTAATCCTTCAAGAACCAGTCATATGGTGCAAGAAAAAGTATGAAGTGAAAATGCGATGAAGTCTGTTTTCTTTTTTGTTAGGTCAGGCCTTTGTAAATGTTCAATGTTTCTTCAAACCCCAAATTGTATTTCAGGATGTCAGCATTTTAAATGATGTATGTACTTTCCTTTTATATAGTAATGCCATGTATAAAGCAGCAAATGCTATAAAATGATAACATTACTTTAAGTCTACATTTCTGAGAAATTACATTGGAAATTGATATAAACATCCTCCTGCTTCCCAGATGGGTGTGTTTCTTGTGAAGCCGAAGCTGAAATCATTTTATTTTTAAATAAATGTTTCTTGTTGAATTGTCTGAATATTTACCCATTTTCATGAAGGAACCACCTATTAAGTATATTCTGATAAGGAGAATGCCACCAAGTAACAAATAAAACACGTGCATTTGTTTTTCTTTTGCTAATTAGCTTGAAGAGGGTGATGAGGTCATCATCTTTTCATCTCCATCCTCAGCTGGAGTTGTAGCTCAGTCAGTGGTAGAGCACTTGTCCAGCCTGCAGCAGGCCCTAGGTTCCATCTGCAGTAGTATAAGAGACAAAAGGCAGACAAAGGTCACTATTTTCCATTTCCTGTTGCAAACCTACACTTTTGCATTATTTGTTAGCATGCTTTATTGAACACTGAGCACACTGATTTCGAGTTTCTTTCCTTTCAGGATGTTTCATTCCGGTAGAATGTGGAGCTGCCATTGGAAATGGAAGCCAAGCACCCTTCTATTCTTATTTGTTCTGTGTATCATGTGTGTTCCTCTCGCAGGTAAGAGTCTTTCTCTCTTGGACTTTAAATTTAATAATGATTTCATTGTCTTCAATGCAAGCAAATGTGCTACTTATTTAAGTTACCTTAACTTTGTCTCTTTCCCTCTACCTACCTGCTCCCTGGTCTTTTTCTGTTTCTGTCCTACATTTTTCTTTTTTTTTCTTTTTTTCTTTTTTTTTTTCTGGTTTTATTCCAGTACCAAGAATCAAACTCACGACCTTGCGCTTGCCAGGCAGGCGCTGTGCCACTGAGCTAAATCCCCAGCCCCTGTCCTACATTTTTCTATCTTTGGTCTCTACTCTTTCTGAATTCTGCATGAATACTGTTACTTTGATCATTATTTCACTTTCTTAGGAGTTTATTTCTTTAATCTTTGGTGTCTTTCTTCTAATTTTATTTATTTATTTGGCCCGTATTGAGTGATGAGATAACTACATAACTGACATTGAAAAAATACTAGCTTTTTCCTCTACTCTTGAATAAATAAATACACAGCACTTAGTTCTCTTTTCATGTTTTCATATAACTATTTATGAGAAATATAGACTGGTATTTCATTCATCCTGATGTTATAACCATCTTGCAAAATGAATAGGAATTTAAAAGTATACTTTTTAGATTATACAGTTTATTTAGTTTTTCTGGTATGGAAAATTTAATTTTTAATTACAGCATCTTTGGAATTAAGATAAGGTTTTTTAATTACATTTTTTTCTGATATGTGAAGTAAGATCCCTTGGCTGGAGAAAAGTACATTAAACAGATAATTATGTAAATAAACTAGTGAGACTGAGAAATGGGCCTGTTGTTTAAAAGAAAACTGTTTCTTCATTTGGATTTTTCAGTGAGAAAACTGCATTTCTCTTAAGTCTACTTGTTTATGCTCTTTATTTTTTCCTGTTATATTTAGTCAGTGTATTTTCTTTTAGAATAAATCTGCAGTGTCAATTAAGAAAATTGTTATTCTTGAAGTCCTGTATATTTATTACTTGCGATTTAATTAAGATTTATAAATCTATGTTTATAATATGTCTATGCTACTATAATTGAGACATTTAAGGAATCATGGGAGTGGATTATTTGCTAGAATTGCTTACTCATAGATCAAGAAATTCAGCTTGTGTTAATACATGAGAGCTTTATTCCGAGCTACCAAGTGTTTTGAGAGTTTCAGCTACTTGCCTGAGAAATCTTTGGCATTTGTTTAAAGACTCAGAATAAAACTGATCTTAGGGTGAATTTTTGTGTGTATACTGTAGAGTATCATTATAAAGTAACTGCTTGGTTCCTAAGTCATTCCTGGAAAAAGAAAGATATTTGTAAAGATATCTGAAAACTAAGGATGAAGGGGTTTTTATGATGCATAGTGTTGAGCTTTTTAACGCTTAACTTTCAGTGTGATCCTTCAAGAACCAGTCATATGGTACAAGAAAAACTATGAAGTGAAAATGCGACGAAGTCTGTTTTCTTTTTTGTTAGGTCAGGCCTTTGTAAATGTTCAATGTTTCTTCAAACCCCAAATTGTATTTCAGGATGTCAGCATTTTAAGTGATATATGTGCTTTCCTGTTTTGCAATCTTTTGAATAATTAGAGAGAAACATGATTTTAGGCAAAAGAATACCGTAGGCTGAGGCAAAGGAAGCCCTCAAAGTAGGGACCATAAGTATGTCCTCATCTCACAGATGTGAGAAGCAGAACCTAAATTTGTTAGGTTACTCTCTTACCCCAGATTTTCTTTTTTAGAATTTCTTTCATTGCCCAATTTGTGTGTGTGCATTGAATAAAGTTTTATGACCATTTTCTCTGTTCACTGATGAAGCCAGAATGTTTTGTATCTGAAGTTTTCTACCTTTCCCAAACATTTTAGAGGATATTATTAGCATTTTAATATAAAATTCTGTTTTATACAGTAACTCAGCAAATGAGTTTCTTCATATGAACTCACAGACCACCTAAAATAATGCTATAACTTTAGATATATCTAATTGTTGAAGTCTTGTCTCTTGCATGAATCAAAGTGCAGTGTCACATCATGGAAGAGTGCATTGTGTGTAACTGCAGGGTTCTATCTCCATATACACACCCTGACTTTCTGTGCTTCTGTGGGTGACCCTTGAACTAAACAGGGACTTTCAGTGGCATCTCGGTGTTCATTCCTGCCAAACCTTTATCCTCAGTTTCAGCTCCTTGGTGGACTGCAGCAAATCACCTGTCCAGTTGCTGATCTTCACTACCCATAGATAGATAGTGGGCCTCAACTTCATGTGTAGAAATAGTACTCTTGGTTCCTACCTGCTTGCACCAAATCTACTTCTTACTCTGTCTTTACAACCTATTTACATCCTTCTGTTCACTCCTACCTGCACTGTTTCCTAGACACATTGGTCTTTTTATTCCTTCAACATGTCTCCTTACTATCCTCTTTTCCCTAATTCCTAAGCATACTCTTCTCCCTAGGAACATGCCTGGTTAGTTTGGGCACTCTGATCTTGCTTTAATTATTGCTACCTCAGATATTCCCTCCCACCCAATTCAAAGGATCCCCACTCATTTTATCATGTTACACTTGTTCTCTTGATTGCTAATTTGACTGTGACAGCTAGGTTGGAAAACCTTTGTTGTTAAGACTGATACTTAGCTCAGAAGTTAGACTAAAAGTTAGACTCTTATAGTTTAATTCCGAAAGCATTCACAGTTTAATTCATGTCATAGAATTAAAATATTATGTAAGTCTCCTACAAAATTAAGTAACATTGTGTTATCATGGAACATTCATAAAGCAAATAATTTACAGGAAAGTTTCTGCCTTTCAGGATTTTAAAAACAGTGTAGAAAAACATCTCATGGTCTGGTGACAAGGGATAAGTGTAACTTTTAACAAGAACTGCAAGGCCTGGGCATATAGTTCAGTGTGAGAGTACTTGCCTAGTGTACGTGAGGCCCTGGATTTTATTCCTAGAACCACAAAACTACAATAAAAGGTCGATGACAAAATAAATTGAATATTTAAACATGTCTCATAGAAATACAAATTAAAATCAAAATGTGATAATTTTTTATCCACTAACTTGACAACATATAGAAAAATTGTTAACATCCCATTGTCAAAGGGGTTGGGAAATGGACATGAACTCCACTGCCGGCTCTCTCTTTTGGGATAATAATTGGGCAACGTGTTTTAAAAGTTAAGAATGTGAACACTGGTATTTCCCTCCCATAGGCATCTTTCGTATAAAAATAAAAAGATGTGTAAAGAAACATGTGTTGATATGCTCACTGGAGCATTGTAACAGCAAATAATTGGAAAAGATTGATTGTTTATCTACAGAGGAATGGTTATTTCAGTTATTTTACATTCACACCATAAAATACTGTGCAGCCCTTCAAAGCAATGTGGTAAGATATGTATATTGGCTTAGAAAGTGGTCCATAATAATAAATGTTAAATGAAAAGGCAAATAATAGATCCATTAAGACAATTCCAGAATTATAACAGGTTGTATTTCAAAGCTGGGATGTGTTGCATATACAGCATATGTTTGTATAAGACTGCATAAACATAATAAAACAGGAATGATACACACCAGGCTTTTAAAATGGTTATTTCAGGGGCAGAGTGTAGAGTGAGAATGAAAAAGACCATGGAACTTTTTACACCTCTACACTTTCTGCCTTGGTGCAATGAGTGTCTGTTACTTCTGAAAAGTTTAAAAAAAAATTTGATGAATTTCTTTGGCTTTTTAAAAGAGCACATTAGAACATGGCCAGAGAAGACTGTTGAAGTATATGAGCCTGTTAATTTTCTGTGAATAACTTAACTGTTATTCTGGCTCTTTCTTCTTTTAGTATGAATCTCTAAAAGGTGCTTCAAATAATGACCTCTTTTTATGGGATGTGACACGCCATGACCCTAAAGACGAATGGGAACATCTCAAGCAGGCAAACGTTATGGCTTTAAGGAAAACGAGAAACAAACAGCCCAGAGCCAGGGAATTCCTAAGCAGCTAGGAGCCTGTTTCCACACAGACAGCCTTAGTCATGGGCTCTGAGGGAGGAGCCTCTTTTCTCTCCTGAAAATCAGTTATATCAGCAGATTGGAGGCTCAGTGCTGTTGATACGTCTGAGACATCGACAGCTAGAAGGGGAAATGGTTTTGAAAGTAGTCTGCCCTCAATGGGGTGCTTTCTAACCCAGAGGGTAGCACAGTTCTGGAAAGCGTTCTTGTGACTGGACAAGAATCTTGTGGGTTTTATTTATTTGGTTTTTTTGTATTCATTTTTGCTGTGATGATAAACAGCAATTCTAACCTCGTATCAATTGTAATGCAGTCTGCATTCAAGTACTAAGTAGATAGTTGTACATATTTTTATACTTGATCAAAAGACTTCTAACTGTCCAGAAAAATCATCCATTTATACATCTTCAGAATTTGGAAGCCATTTTAGTATTAATGGGAAGTTAAATTTGCTAAATGTATCCAAAAGGTCACAATGGAGGCTTTGTGCAAAATATTTTGCAGACAGTGTTAACATGTATGGATAAAATATAAAATATGAAAAAATATTAGTTGCAACACAGATGTACTTAAATTATGAAAAAAATTAGGTTGTACATATTAAGTTTGCTTGAATTAAAAGATAAATGTGTGTTTATATGTATGTGTGAATATATGTACATACTTAAAACAGGGTCAGAATGCTCCAAGTAACTGTCTAGAGCTTTTTCCATTCCAGACCTCGACATGAACAAATAAAGCCTAGCCAGTTTTGCGCAGATGTTTTTGAAGGCTTTTTCCAGATAATTCCCTTCATGTACCACTGGATGATCTGAATTTGAGAAAGTTGAATATGCAACCCTCCATGCGCTGTTATAAAGTCAGTGACGTAAACATGGATGGCAGTGACTTTACTTTGATACCACAGTGATAATCACCAAGTCACTACCCAGCATGATGAGGACATTAATGAAACTGACACAGCTTAGAGAATAATAGTAA